AAATCAATAACAATGTGTGTGCTGTTTCATAGGCTATAATTCTAACTTCTTGCTCACTTAGTCTAGCCTTTCTCCCCCTACATACTAGGTTCGGCAATGAACAGTCTTCAAGCTGGGGCCCTTTTGCCGCGGGAACCTTGAGGAAACTTATACTCCCTCTGTTGAACAAATACACACAGACGAGCTCCTTCCACACATCCAACAACAAATACAGCGCTGACGGCCTCTGCCTGAAAACAAGTTCTAGCGCTATTTCTGAAGTGGCACTCACAGAGAAAAGTATGTCATTGGTATAGCACACACCTTACGGGGCATCACTTGAGACTGATTCCCTCAGCTGGGAGAGCCACACTAAAGGACAAGCAGTAAAAGTCTGTAATGACATGAATTTGCTCTTCAGGTCACTCCCAGCAAGGCTTACCCACTGTCCTTTCCTTGTAGGAGTAAATGCAGTGCCACTGACAGCTACAGAATCTGTCTTAGTTCTTGCCGTTTCTGGTGCTCAAGTTTGGGGTACGTTTCCTCTTGCCTTACCTACGCTAAGCAGGACACTTTCCACAGTGACTTCTCTAGGACCAGCTGCCACAGGCATAGCTTTTGCTTTTGCTCCTTATAAACAAGGAGCTTACCACACATAAGTGAAGGTATAAATAGGTTTGGCTGAGCCAGGATAAAAGAGCCCATAGCCCACTCAAGGATTCTTCGTATGGGAATCTGGCAGCAGGTACCAAAGCAGAATTGCCAGGCTCTTCACTCACCCCACACATACATAATAATAATAATAATAATATTGCTATAAATTGGAGTGTAAATACAAGCCCACCAGGTTCTTCTTCCCTCATCCTTATACCTCCCACACCTTCCTCCTCTCTCTCACCCTTGACAAGCCCCTGGCAGCCCAATGCTCCCACACACACCTTCCTCGGCATACACCTCCATGCCCTGAGACCAGCTGGCTTGGGATTAAAATGGACCACACTAGGAAGTGCCTGGGCAGAGTGAAGTTTATTGTATCGAATTTCTTTGGCCTGTTACAGATGCATTATGAACCCAGAGGAAGCAGGAAGGTGGTTTGAGATCCTGTGTTCCTCCAAACCTGCCTCAGTTACCCATGGTCTAAAGCAAACCATGTGAGCCCTTAGAATCTTGTCTAGTAAAGCAAGAGGTTTGCCCAGAGGATCTCTAAGATCTCTTGACTGAAAGTTCAAGATTTCTCTGATTCTACTATCAGAGAATCAGGGGGAAGTGACCAAACTTCTAAACACTAATAAGACCCTTTTACAGAATTCCTCAAACTCCTTTGTTCTACTTCCTATTCAATTCTTTTTTGCTTACTTAGACATGAAAGCAGTCTTTGGGAATGTTAGCAAAACACTAACACAGTTATTCTATTAGTGATAATTTTTGCGTAGGGAGCCACAGAGAGCTCCAGCCTTCTCTGAGGAGGAGGATGGCCCTATTAAATGCTTCATGCAAGCCAATAGATGAAGGTGTTAAGTCACCCCAAAGAAAGGCCACTCACCTCCTCCACAGCTCACGTGACAGAAACGCGTCTGTGCCAGCTGCCAAGCAAGGTCCTAGGCCACTAAGATAACCATCACTAAGCCCCAGCAGTTGGGAATCCAGCAGGCGAGAGTTAGACAGTCTTCCAGTTCGTACCAAGATTTCTTTCAAAAGATTTCATTCTGCTAAGAAAGCCAACCCATAAGGCAGGTAGGGAAAGATGGGGCCAGGGACATTATGCAACTAGTTTTTGTATTCTAGACTGCCCTGGCCAACAAAAGCACGCAGCCAAGCCTTGCAAAGGACTGTGTCAGCTGGGCCATACCCACTTTCTGCTGCAACTTGGCTGAATTGAAAACGAAACAGGTGACTGGAAGGTAAAGGGTGATGATGGGAAAGACAGCCTCTTCCTTCTGCCTGCAACCAGTACAGTCCTCTAAAAAAACATTGGACTTTTTATAAATAAACTAGATCTTGTCCTTACATTCAAATAGCCCCAGAGGATCAGGAACTGAAGCGTTTAAACTCTCATTGCGCAGAGATGGCACTGCATATGAAGGGGCTCAGTGCAGAGAATTATCAAGGCTCAGGGTTAGCCTGGGTGACCTTGGGCTGCCCAACACTGTTCCTCAGTAGTAAGTGTGTGTGATCGTAACTTCTCTGGGTGAGAGGAAGATGCTTATAAAGTGCAAAAGAAATACGAAAGTCCTCATCAGGCATTTGTTGTCAAAAACCAGCACAAAAGCGATGTTTACAGAGGTGTCACTGATTGACCAATTCAGAAGCTTTTACCTTGCAAACTCCACCCAAATCAGACACTACTCTTTTTTTAGCGGAACAGACACTACTCCGAAGTAAACAAAGTACTTCCCCCTGCCGAAGCCTCTGGCTGGGCTGCTGCGGACTTCTCACCAGCAGCCGAGGAATTTACTACCCACTGACCAGCTGCTTGTGGGGCAGGAAAGGGGGCAAGGAAGGTCTGAGGAAGGTTTCAGCAGTAGAGAAGTGTGAGAGAAGTTTCTCCACAACGCAGACAGCACTCCTTGTCACACATCTTCAGTGCACGGAATTCATCAGCTCATCCGTGAGAGACTGACCATCACCTCCACTCCACAAAAAAGTTTACTGCTTACTGGACTCTAGAAGCGATCCCTCTAGAAGCAAGCTACTTGCTTGTGGGCTACTGGCAAACATTCTTTATTATGCTATCACTATACCACATCCCAAGGACTAAATGAAACACAGCACACATCACCCGAGCTTTTTCAGATGAACAGGAATAACCCTGGTCCTCGATCTCCTGTGTTTATTATTGGATCATCACAAATTTAACAAACTCCATGGAAAGATACTCTTCACATATGTGCACCTAAACACCGCACATGCACGCGTGCATGCACACTCACACAGAGTTCAAGTAAACACTCACATACTGGTTCCATAAGAACAATCCAAGTGCTACTCTGAGGACTGATGAGGAATAACAGATCTATTTCAATGACACAGAAATATACAGTTATGAGAAGAGCCATCCAAAAAGAACTGAGGAGCTGGGGTGGAACTCAGTAGGTAAAGTGTGTGTCTAGCACGAGCAAGGCCATGGGGTAAACACATACACACAAAGAAGACAAGACTGAGAGTGTAAGCAATAAGAAAACAATGATATGAAAATTATAGATGCGATGCTTATGCCACGTTTAAGAAAGTGTCCTTTTGGGTTCGTGATTGGTTCTGAATGTGTGTAAAGAAAGGAACTGCTGTATTCTTTTTCCACTTGAGTACAATAAAATAGACCACTCAGTAGCACGTCTACCTCTAGCATGTAACCATCAACCATCAGAACAGAGGGCGGCAGCAGAAAAGGTATGAGAAGTCACAGGAACAGACTGTTGCTTGGAGTTTTCACCCTTAAGTTACAGTGCTGCATTTGGTCCCGTCTTTCCTAATGCTGGGTTTATTGCCATCAAGACAAATATAATTTATTGGTTTAATACCCTATTACTATTACCTTTGCTTTTTTTTTATGAAGTGTCAAACAAAGTAGTATCTATACCACCGAGTTTTCCTGAATAAAAATCTAACCCATATCACAAAAATAATTGGTTTTGAAGTACCAATGTGTCCTAAGTTCTTAAGTGTGGCACTCCGTTCAAGTTTACGCCCGAACAGATACAAACTCAGAAGCCCAGAAGTTCCACGGGGCATTTTTACAGGCAAATACAAAGAAACCCTACTTACTTTTTGAATTTACGTTGGCCTTACTTCAAACCCCACAACCACCTTTGCTGATAAGAAATACTGAGATTTGATTCTAATTATGAAAATCTAGTAAGCAAGTACGATAAAATACTACCTTTCTCCTACATACACCCTACTTAAAAACAGTGTTAAAACAGGAAAGATTTTTCTCACTCCCCACAGAGAAGGAAAACAGCTTCTAGGTCCCTTGTTTCTTCAGGATCCATCCAAGGAACACATATTACACAGGCAAAAGCAAAAGCAAACTTCAGCCTCTCACGCGAGCAGAAACTTCCACCTAAGTCCTGAGGAAACCGTGACACAGTGCAAAATAAATACATGGATGGGAAAAATAACTATGGGAGATGCACAAAGCATCCTGCTTCCCAATGGTGGCAAACTTTACAATAACTATACCTATGTATGTTTAGAAGCCAAGTATTGTACTGTGTTTGGAAATATCCCCTGCACTTACAATACTGCAAAACACGGCCAGAAAGCACACTGCTCTTACATACTCACTATGCACTGTCAAACAGAAGGTCATATTGCCTGGTCACCTCTTTTTCTCCCTGCATCACAGGAGTTTTCTACTTTGAGGCTGCTCAACTTTCATATGCACTGAAGTAAAATAGCTATCCGGCAACTTTATTCACCTTGGTTTAAAAAAAGAAATTCATTGTGCAATGGCCAGGAAAAACGGACACCAAGATCGTCTCTCCAACTGCAAATGCAACTACAATGGGATGGGGAGGGGGGTCCTGTGTGATCAAACCCGGGAGTCCTTTAAAAAAAAAAATGAAAAGGAAAGGATTCCATCCCCACTCGGGGCTGAAGAACTCTTTTTCTAAGAAGACCACCCCTTGGGAACAAAAGTTACATTTCAGTCACATGTCGGGTGTAGGAACGGGGAGCAGGGTTTTTTGTAAGCGCACTAATTACGGGAGTGACTTACAGATCCGGAGACAACCCGGGTTCCTTCCAGCCAATTGTGACGGGCATTTCATTGTCAAAAGAAAGGGGGTGGGGTGGGGGCCGAGAAGCCGACCCGGGGCCGGCGCGGGTGGGGGGAGCAGCAAGGTTACGCTAAAGGGTACAGCCGCCGCGGCCGCGAGCTGCATCTCCTCCGCTCGCGCCCCAAATAATCCACTGCGAGCAGAGCAAAGGCGACAGCCCAGTCCGAGAAGAGCCCGGCACGACTGCCCCGCCGGTGCGGCTCCAGCTTCCCGACCACCGAGAGGAGAGGAGCAGGTCTTTACCTTAATGCTACACTGAGCAGGAGTCTCAGACATGTCTCACAGCGAGAGGGATCAGGAAGTTCTCAGTTTTTTTCCACTTTCCTTTCCTCTCCCCAACCCAGAAACGCTCCACGGGCAGGCGGACGCGGTCATTTAAGAAGTTTCTCGCAGCATTTCTCGGGGCGCCGCCGCGGGGTCGGACGCGGGCGGGCGGGC